TCTAATATAGACATCTAAATAACATGCCCTGCTTAACATTACTTTAACTTCTTTCTGTAAATTATTATTTTTCATTATATTAAGTTTAAAATAATTCTGACTTTTTAAATTTGTTGTTTGTTTATGGGTTATTAAGTAGTTTGTTATTTGATTTCTGATATTTGAAAGATTTTTGCAATTCCTTTTTTTTGCTATCTGTTTATATCAATATTTCTTTTTCTTTTTAAATATTTATTTATTTGAAAGGTAGAGTTAGAGAGAGAGAGGCGGAGACAATGATAAAGATCTTCCATCCACTTGGCCACTCTCCAAATGGCTAAAATGGCTAGGGCTGTGCCAGGCTGAAGCCACGAGCTTCTTTCAGGTCTCCCACATGGTGTTGGGGCCCAGGTATTTGGTCCATCTCGCACTGCTTTCTCAGGAACATTAGCAAGGAGCTGGAACAGAAGTGGAACAGCCAGGGCTCGAACCAGTGCCTACATGGAATGTCAGCATTGCAGATCACAACTTAATCCACTGTGCCACAGCACTGGCCCTGCAATTCTTTTTTGTTGTGGGATTCTAATTTATTTTAGCAGGATAAACTCTGTAATGTTTCTGCCTTTGAAATACATTGGGAATTATGACCCCGCACATAATCTATCTGCATGAATATTTAATGCACACTTGAAAGGAATATGTGTTCTTCAGTTATTTACAACAATAAATTCTTTAAATTAATTTATTCGTATTCAGATAGTCTAATATTCTAATGTCTTTATCTCCCTTTGTGAAATACAGAGAGCTATAAAAATCTCCACCTATAATTATGGTTTATCTATTTATATTTACTTTTACTAATTTCCTGTCCATACTTTAAGTTTAAGCTATTATGTCTGCTTAAGATTTTATATTAGTGTATAATTGACCATTTTATTATTATGAAATGTCTTCTTCTGTTCAGAAATCAGTTTTGGCTAATATTGGGATAGATAGGCCAAGTTTCACATGTTTATGTCTGCATAACATATTTTATTTCACCCTCTATTTTCAACTTATCCATACATTTTTAAAGATTGATTTTTTTATTTATTTGAAAGGAAGAGTTAGAGACAGAGAGAGACAGAAAGAGAGATCTTCCAAGCATTTACTCCCCGAATGGTAGCAATAGCCGAGGCTGGGCCAGGATGAAGCCAGAAGCCTCGAACTCCATCAGGGTCTTCCACGTGAGTGGTGAAGTCAAGCTCTTGGGCTACTTTCTGCAGCTTTCACAGTCATACTAGCAGAGAGCTGGATCAGAAGTGGAGCATCACGGACTCAAACTGACTCACCTTTGGGATGCTGGAGTCATAGGCAGCAGCTTAACTTGGTGCACTACAATGCTGGCTCTATTTTTTAAAAATATCTATCTGTCTATCTGTCCATCTATTTGAAAAGCAGAGTGACAAAGAGAGAGGGAGAGATAATCTTCTGTACACTGGTATACATCCCAAATGCCAACAACCAGGTATAGGGCAGACCTATGCCAGGAACTTCATCTTGGTGGTAGGGGCCCAAGCACTTGGACCATCATCCTCTCTCTACCCTGGCATACTGGAAGCGAATAATACAGGACTCAAACCAGCCCTGTGATACGGGGTACCTACCTTGCAAGCAACAACTTAAAGGGCTGCTCCACAACTCCTAGAACTCTATGTAGATGTATACTTTTGCTTTTTTTTAGTGATTTCCTCAGTTATAACGATTTCTTCTTGTGTTTATAACAACCCACCCAGAATTAGTATTTGAACAGTTCACAACTCTGAAAAATACTCTCAAAAGAATTAAAGGGATAACAATTTATTTGAATGGAGAATGATTCATGAGTCGGATGGCAACCTGAAACTATAAAAGGTTAGAGAGTTCTTCGCAGCAGTGCAGACAGTATAAATAGAGAGAAAAAGAAAGCAATGCATGGAAACATTATGATTTGTTAAAGCAACGTTTGCTTCACTCTGGTATGGAGAAATACAGCAGTTACCTTATATGGAAGTGGTTGAATGAGTTGATACCTGTTGCTGTTTGACTGAGATTCAGCTACATTTTTGAAGCATATACTCTTACCTCAGATTGTACTTTGTTTACAAACTAAAACTGGTTGCAGTTCGTTATGTAGGAATTGAAATTACAGAGGCCTGTTTTGGCCAAATTTAATTAAATCTACATGCTTCCCAACTGACAGTACTGACTTTACCGTTCATGTTTCTCACTTTCCTCTTCACTCTTTCTGTTTTCTATTTCATAACCATCACTTCACAAAACTAATAGACTTGCAATATAGTTTCACGTATCTCCCCTCTTGTTTTTTGTATTGCTTTCAGACGTTCAAAGTGATGTAGAATGAAGCCCCTCTTCAAACACTGCTTGCTCTAAGTAATCACATTTTAGGAAATTTATAAAATAAAACAAAAAATTGTATTACATATAATATTTCTTATTCTTTCTCATTGGTTTTAATTTTCCAATTTGGTATCATATGGTATGCAAAACAGTACCCTTTAGAATTTCACATTGCACAGACTGGGAAGTTACAATCTCTCTCTACTTTCTTTTATTTGAAAAATCTTTATTTGGGTTCATTTGAAATTTTGAAAGAATATAGAATTCTTAGTTGATTGAGTTTCTTCCATCAGTTTTAGGATGTGTACCTTTTATTTCTTGTCTGTTCACTTAAGGTTTCAAAGGAGCCTTTATTCATGCTCTCATCACGTGTATGCAACGTCCTTTGCAATTTTACTCTGGCTGCTTTCAGAATTTTCCCTTTATCTTTAGTTTTCAGTAGTTCATGTTTTTCAAGATATGATTTTTTTTTAATTTGTGCTGCTTTTATTATGGCCTGAAGTTACCTGAGATTCTCGTAAGTTTAAATTTTATGTCTTATTTGAGAAATGCTAGATAGGTATTTCATCATGTATTTTTTGTCTTATTCTCACTCTTATCTGCTTTTAGAATTCCAGTTATACATTATCCAGGCTATCAAATATTGTTGGACAATCACTAAGGTTGTGTCCTCTTTTCTTTAATTTTGTTTCTGTTTTTCCAACTAGGTATTCTTTATTGATTTCTGTGTGAGCTCACTGAATCCTTTTTCTCCTGTTTAAATCTGTGTTGGAACTTACCAACTAATTTTCTTTCATTTCACTTACTTTAGTTTTGAATTTAGTATCTACACATCTTTTCAAAGTGCAATCACTGCATCCCCCTTATGCATGGTTCCACTTCCTGAGATTTAGTTACCCACAGTCAACAGCAGTACAAAAATATTAAATGGAAAATTCTTGCCATGATCTAACAATGAATTTAAATTATGTGCCCTCTGAGTTGTGTGATAAATTCTCCACCTCCTAGGATAGCAAATATTCCTTTTTCTACCCACTAGCTACCCATTAGTCATTTGGTACCTGTCCTGGTTGTCTAATCAATTGTGATGGTTTCCCAGGGTTTATGTTCAGGCAACAACACCCTCACCCTCTTTTTTTTTTTTTTGATGGCTTAATAATGGCCCAAATGAGTAAAATTAATGATGTCAACAGAGTCGTTAGGGCATAAAATATGGAAGGACATATTAACTGTTGTTCTATGTGGCAGTGCTGCAGGGATTGTAGGAATAACAAAATAATTGTGTGTGTGTGTGTGTGTGTGTGTGTGTGTGACTGAATACTATCCATAGTTGCAGGCATTAACAGTTGTTCTTGGGGATGTATCTCTTAGAGTTAAAGAAAAACGACTGTAGCTTTAATTCTTTGGCAAGAGTGTACACTTTCTTATTAATAAAGAAAATATATTAAGTGCTGGTGCTGTGGTGGCTATGGCATAGCTGGTTAAACCTCTACCTGCAGTGCTGGTTCCAGTCCCAGCTACTCCATTTCTGATCCAGCTCTCTGTTATGGTCTGGGAAAGCAGTGGAAGATGGACCAGGTACTTGGGGCCCTGATTCCATATGGGAGACCCAGAAGAAGCTCCTGGCTCCTGGCTGTGGATCAGGCCAGCTCTGGCCATTTCAAGCATTTGGGGAGTGAAATAGCAGATGGAAGTCTTCTCTCTCTGTCTCTCCTTTTGTCTCTCTGTAAATTTGCTGCTCAAATAAATAAATATTTTTTTAAAAAAAGGAACACATATTATTCTTTCAATTCTTGAACATATTTAAAATATCTAATTTAAGACATTTGTTCTTTCACCTAATATCTGAGTCATCAGATTCATCTTATGTTTTCCTATTTCACAATATCCTTAATAATTTTAAATTTTATATTAGACTTTATGGGTAAAACATGAGAAAATATTACACATTATTTTATCTTATTTGGAAGAATACATGTTTCCACTAAAGAACGTTTATTTTTATTTTATGATGAAGTTCAACCAAGGAATGTAAATAGACTTGATTTTGTACCACGTGTGTATCTTCTTCATTTAATGATTTGTTGGTGACTGCATGGCAAGGTCAAGATATTTTATAGATCTTCCAAATAGGCAGAAATTAAAGTCAAAAGTCTGCTCCATTTGGTTTGAGAATTTGTTAGGCTTGGATAGTCTAGTTCTTATGATATTCTTCATGTACAAGCTATGTCTTCAAGTCAACTGAATGCCAACTATTAAACACACTGATGTGACGTAAGCAGAGCTTTCCCAACAGTGTAACCTTCCTTTCTTCACCCTCCAAAATTTCCCAGCCCTTCTTGTCACTTATTTTCTTCTGTCAGTCCTGTGGTAGCTTCTCTCTGATCAGCTTCTCATAGCCTCACCCGGTATGTACTCAGCCCAACCTCAGTCAGTTGTTTTCAGGAGCTCCTGAAGAGAACTCGAGCCCATCTCTTTGCCAACTCCCGACTCTCTGAAGTCCTTCAGATTCCACCTTTTGCAGTAGTACAGAACTCTCTCTTCACTTTGCTGGAGGTAACTTACTTTAATTTGGGTAAAGTTTCCTGACCTGAGACAATAAATTAACTTCAAGTAGGGAATCACAGTAAACATGGACTCACCTCGGGGTTCTTCTCTCAGTTGTCATAGGATTGCAGTGCCTGTTATCTGGTTATTGAAATTCCCTGCCGTGTTTGCTTTGTCCAGTGATCTGACTGATTAGGTGGCCATTCTGGATTTAGCCATGCTGTCATGGAGGCAGGTTAATGCCTTACACTCTCTCCCCTGCTCTGTGCTTTACAGGTATCTCCTGTATCCAGTTCAGTTACACAAAGCTTCTTTTTCAGTTATTCTTAAAGACACATGAAACGCTTTTGATTTCTTAAGTCAAAACAATGAGGGAGTTATTCTGTGATAAAACTAAGCAACATTTACATTTGGTGCCTCTACAGACTGCATTTAATTATCTTTACTAAATAGAAGTGAGAATATTATTTAAACCTTTGTTAGTTGAAATTATAACCTATGCACACTTTATTTCCTTCTGCTCTTCCTCCCACCCTTCTGTAAAAGAAGCTTGAAATCGTATCTAAATAGCACACAGGTATAAATGTACATTACACCCATTATACCATTGTACTCTAAGTTGGAATAGCAATGTAACATCCATCACTAATTATGCATTCAAGCAGTAACTGGATGGTGAAAGAATTAAATTAACCACTGAATGTCATGTTGTCAGCACTATTCTAGCAATAGATAAATTGATGGAATCTAATTTGTAACAGAGAGTAGAACACTAAGAAAGGAAAATAAACCAAAACATAGTTAAGATAACAGACAGTATAGAGGCCAGCACTGTAGCCTAGCGGGTTAAGCCGCTGGCTGCAGTGTCAGCATCCCATATGGGTGCCAATTCAGGTCCCAGCTGCTCCACTTCCAATCTAGCTCTCTGCTGTAGCCTGGGAAAGCAGTAGAGAATGGCCCAGGTCCTAGTACCCCTGCACCAACGTGGGAGACCCAGAGGAGGCTCCTGGCTCCTATCTCAGATGGGCATAGTTCCAGCTGTTGCAGCCAACTGGGGAGTGAGCCAAAAGATAGAAGATCTCTCTCTCCCTCTGCCTCTCCTTCTCTCTTTGTGTAACTCTTTCAAATAGATAAATAAATCTTAAAAACAAACAAACAAACAAACAAACAAAAAACACAGCATAGATTATTACCCCAGGACCTCTCAAGTTGCCTTCTACTCTTATAGAGAGCTGATGTGCACTATAACCTCTTTGAGTGCTATATTCAGTTTCTTCAGTGTACAACTCTGTGGGGAACCATTCACAGTGAAGTCACACAGTCTTCTGGATCATGTGTGACACGCCTCTGATGTCCCCAGTGGTAATCTTTCTACAAATCCTCTGTCTGTATAAACTTAGCTGGGTTACTTAAAATTCACTGCTGTTTTATCTTGTCTATACAATGGTAATATAAATATCCTACCCCATGCTTTGATATATTCTTATCTAAGATTAAATTCAGGTTCCTTGATATATTTTATCCTATTTTGATATGAAACTAAAGTTATTTAATAAAGTAACTTGCAGGGCCGGCATTGTGGTTTAGCAGGTTAAGCCTCTGCCTGCAACACTGGCATCCGATATGGGAACTGGTTAAAGACAAGACTGTTGCATTTCTGATCCAAAATCCCTGCTGATGCAGCTGAGAAACCACCAAAAGATGTTCCAAGTGTTTGAGTCCCTACACCCACCTGGAAGACCAGGAAGAAATTCGGGGCTCCTGGCATGAGCCTGCCCCATCCCTGGTGGTTGTAGCCATTTGGAGTGAACCAGTGGATGCAAGATATCTCTGTCTGTCTTTCTCTGCAACTCTGCTTTATAAATAAATACAGGATAAATCTTTAAAAAGTAAAAATTAAACATATAATTTGTAAGCATCATCACATAACTTCTGCTATTCTGATAAGATTGTATTTATTTATTCTCTTGCACATTAAAGAACTTTAGCACAGGAGGAATAATTTATTAAATAAAAAACAAATACTTTCACTAAAATTTATAGTTCCACTGCTAACTGATTTGGAAAAAATGCATATATTATATATATACACATATACAAATACAGAGTTATTAACTATTTCAATGGGAAGTAGATAAGATTAATTAAAATGACAAATTATATTTTATTAGCGCAGATTTTTAACTGACAATATAAAAAAGTAGTCATGTTTCCGTGTACTATATAGCAATCATCAGAAATTATAATTTGACATATTTATAAAGCCATAAACTTTAGTTGTAATTTGAAACACACACACACACACACACACACAAATGGGGCACACTCATACTTGTGCATTACAGTAATGGGAGTCTGCCCCACAGTGACGTGCTTTCTAATGCTCATACTGTGAATTTAATTTAATAATGTTAACATTTCTGTAGTGTGTTTCATTCTTGTTTACTCATAAAACACCCAAGAAACAAGGTAATAGAAATAACAGTATTTCAACCCCACATATTTTTCCAGATAGCTATATTTCTTGAAGTACTAATTTATTGTTGCTCTTTTTTTTCCTCCTGGTATTATTGTGTGTTTCCCAAAGGCAACAGAAACAATGAGGAAAATCCAAAGAATTATGAAAGGAGAATCAGTGTTACTTTATCCTAAATCACTGTATATGAATTTAGCATGTGTGGGTACCCATTACATAGCACTTGTGCAAATACCTACACCAATAAATTCATTTTGAAATTACACTTGAATTTAATTTTTATTTTATTTTCAACTTAACAAAGAACTTCACTATAATATGCTTTCCAAAAATAAGATGACTTTAATATGCCAATAGTATATCAGTCAAAGATTATTTTAATATGAATGGTACATTACACTGACAAGGTATGAGGCTTATCACTTCTATTATTAGATGGGAAAAAATGCTGAAGTAATGATACGATTGAACATATTTCAAATGAGAAAATTGTGGTTCATAGAAAAGTGAAATGTGGCTAATATGTGGCAGAACAAAAATTAACTATGACTCAAGTCTATTAACTTTAATTTCCGTGTATTATACATTCACCAGTCTGTCTTCATAATGAATTATTAAAAGCAGTCATTAACAATGCTTATGAAACTCATTTGATTGCAAACTGGTAATTTTAACATGCTAGCATGCTGATACCTGTCTGGTTAATGTTACAGAGATAAGGGGAAAAAAGAGACTAAAATTAGATATCCTGGGATATAAAGAAAAGTTCAAGTTTGTGAAAAACTGTCATCTGGCCATCTAGTCCAATTATTATCAGTCTTATAATTAGATTTTATGACAGATAACAGTTTATGTGGTTTCCAGAGTGAAGAGAAAATCCTTACCCTCTGATTCTATAATTATTTGTGGTACCTGATTGTAATTAACCCACTGGAACATTGTGATGACTTTGCAAAAGGGTCAGGTCTCAAATCCTGTGGGATTTATTTTATTAGTATCATGACAGCATCCATGTTCTATTACATCAAATCCTTTCCCCTCTTAACAATTAGATGGGAAATGACTAGGAAAGGAGTAATATAGTAAGTGCTCACTGCAGCATTCTTGTAACATCTTACCATTAACAGAATATAGATGTATATAACAAAAACATATATATTACTGTAACTGGTCAGAAAAAGAATTACATTAAAGTGTTCATAAGATAACTTGCAAAATCATTTCAGAGAGCAGCCCTATATTACCGTTAATGACAGGGAATGAGATGCACACAACACCTGCTCCTTAAAGGGAGAATCTGTGAAAAGAGCTTTGAAATAACACACTTGACTGAATATTTCAGAATGTTCTGTCACAGTGCAGTTAGGGTACTCTCACTTTAATGTGTCCTCACTTATTAAAAGTTGGAAAATGTATTCATTGATCCATTTTCTTAGAAATAATGTGATTTGTTTTCAACTTTCTCAAGTGTTTCTGCACTTGGAGATACTAGAGCAATCCATCCAAGTGTACTTCTTATGTTCAGTCTAATATTAAAATTAATAACACAGTTTATCATTTAAAAATCAATCATCATTTGATAAATATACACCCAAATGCCTGCTTTAATAGATCAGTGAGATAAGAGACTAGCTTCAAAAATTGCAAAGCTACAAATTCAGTAACCAAAATGTCAATTTTAATGTCATTATATAAAGTACTATGTGTTTCTGACTGTTCTGTAATCACATATGATTACATTATGTCTGGTCAGATTGATGTGCTTCAAAAAGTTATTCTTGCTCCAATTTTCTTTCACAGTCAGTTACAATCAAGATCAGAGTTCTAAGAAGCATTGTTCCACTCCCTTTGTTTTGCACATGTTCCTATTTTGTCTCAAGTTTTTTATATTAACGTTAGGTACTATTAATGTGACAGAATGATCTGGTTAATTATAAATGAAATGTTAATACTATCTAGTCCACGGACCTCAGTTATCTAAAAATAAATGAGCCTTAATTTTATAGAAATTACATTATTTTTGGATGCCAGTCTTTGAGAATTGGTAGCAAAGTCATATTTGTTTAATGACTAAAATCAAGTTATTATTTGGGAGATGTATTTTTCTTGTAAATCATTAAAAAGCAAAGTAACAACTCATTGAAGTCACAAGCTAGAATTTCAGATTTTGCTTAAGAACTATAATGCCAGTTATGCATTTGCTTTTTTGATAGGTTTTTAGAAATATAAAGAAGATATATTCCCTTAAACTTCTTGAAGTAAGAATCTATCTTTTCTAGTAGAGCTTTGCAGATCGTAAGTTAATACATTTGATGAGGCTCCATTTTATGATTATTTGTATATTTATTCTTCAATTTATTAATTCAGTAAATACCTTTGAAAATTTATATGGATCAAACATTATCAAGGTGAATGTAATACTGCAGTAAGGGTCCAGGATATAGTGTAGGATCTGTAATCTGATCTAAATGAGATGTTAAATTATGAAAGTTCTCATGCAGTTGAGTGGTATAATTTAAATTTTATAAAGAGGTCTCTGGTATGTACAAAAGGATGAAACAGACAGAAGGCCTAGGAGGCAATTATAGCCATAGCAGTGAGAAATGGTGTCTTAGCTTAGCTATAAATAGAAAAAACGGTCACATCCAGGATAGACTTTGAAGGAAGTTATGACAGAATTTACTGGTAGACTGAATGTGGAATATGAGAGAACAGTGGATACCAGGATACTCTGAGGTTGTTTATCTGAGCCACCAGAAAAGCAAAGGTGCCATTTTCTGAGCTAGCGACTCTGGGAAGATGTGTTTGGGACCTTGTAATTAAGGCA